GGAAGGGCTTCGGGTGGGCGGGCGGCGGCGCCAGCGCCTGCGCCTCGCGGACCCTCGCGTCCGCTTCCCTGATGGCTCCAGACAGGTCTGCCTGCGGGCGGCGGCGGCGACGACAACCACGACGACCACAAGGACCACGACCACGCCAACGATGACACAGCCGCCGACGACGACGACGGCGACGCCGCCGCCGCCAACGACGGCGCCAACAGCGGCAACGGCGATGACGACAACAATGACGACGACGACAACGACGACGATGGCAGCGGCGGCGGCGACGAAGACGACGACGGCCACGAGGACGAGGACGACGACGACGCCGACGCCGACGCCGACGCCGACGCCGACGACGAAATCGGCGACGACGACGAGAGGCCACGACGCCGACGACGACGGCCACGAGGACGACGACGACGACGACGCCGACGCCGACGCCGACGCCGGCAACGACGACAACGACGACGTCGGCGACGACGACGTGAGGCCACGACGACGACGGCCACGACGACGACGACGACGACAACGACGGCCACGACGACGACGATGACGACGGCGGCGGCGACGACGACGACGACGGCCACGAGGACGACGACGACGACGCCGACGCCGACGGCGATGACGGCCACAACGTCGGCGACGACAACGACGGGCACGGCGATGACGACGACGACTGCGACGACGACGAACACAGCCACGACGACGACGACAAAGGCGGCCACGACGACGAGAACGACGGCGGTGGCAGCGGGAACGACGTCAACGACGAAGCAAAAAACGACGACGACAACGATAAAGACGGCGATGACGACGACTGCCACGACGACGATGATGACGACGCCAACGACGACGACCGACCACGAACACGACGACGACGACGACGACGACTTCGGCGGTGACAACGACGAGGGCGACCACGACGACGCCGACGCCGATGACGGCCACAACGTCGGCGACGACGACGGACACGGCGATGACGACGACGACTGCGACGACGACGAACACAGCCACGACGACGACGACAAAGGCGGCAACGACGACGAGAACGACGGCGGTGGCAGCGGGAACGACGTCAACGACGAAGCAAAAAACGACGACGACAACGATACAGACATTGACGACAACGACTGCCACGACGACGATGATGACGACGCCGACGACGACGACCGACCACGACCACGACCACGACCACGACCACGACGACGACGACGACGACGACGACGACGACGACGACGACGGCAGGGGTGGCGACGACGACGACGACAGCCACGACGACGGCGGCGGCGGCGGTCACGACGACGACGACGACGGCGACGACGACGACGGCGGTGACAACGACGAGGGCGACCAAGACGACGACGATGACGACGCCGACGACGGCGAAGAGGACGACAACGACAACGGCAACGGCGGCGCCAGCGTCGACCACGACGACGGGCACGACGACGACGACAACGACGACGACGACGTCGGCGACGGCGGCAACGACGACGACGACTACGGCGACGACGACGACGACGACGACGACGACGGCGGCGGCGACGATGACGGCGACAACGACGACGACCGCGCCACCGACGACGCCGAGGACGACGGCGACGACGACAGCGACAACGACGACGAAAACAGCAGAAACGGCGACGACGACGACGACGACGACGGAAAAAGCGACGGCGATGACGATGACGACGACGCCGACGACTACGGCGACTACGGCGACGACGACGACGACGACCACGCCAAGGACGGCAGACAGATGCAGAGAAACACCACAAACATACAGCCGAGGCCAGTCCACAAGAAACCTCCCACAAGAAACCCAACCCTAAGACCCTAGGACGCCCATCGAGGTTTGGGTGTGGGAGCGTCACGCTTCCCACCGCGAAATCATCGAAATCAAACCCGAGGCACCCTGGAGGCAAGCACGGTGTTTCTTGGCATGGGCCTCCACTGTGAGCATAGACTCTCTGCGGTCCGCGCGGAGTTCTTCCGGAGCGCGCCAGGGGCGGCGCCGGAGGTGCCCCCGGGGGGGCCCAGCGTCGATCCGAGCAATACGAGCGGACCACCGACAGTTTATCATTGTGCCGTTGTTTTTCAAAGTGCAGTCAGACCTAGGAGAGAAGAACATCCTTCCAGAACATGAGACCCTCCGCCAGCCAAAACGCACACAACATCCGAGGGTACCCTCCCCAGGGTGCACCAGACACGAAGAACAAGAGGGTACCACCCCCCAAACCGACCTCGATCTTGTGCCTCGGCCCGACTGCATTCGCAGAAAACTGCGACAACAGGAACCGAACCTCGAGTTCTTCGCGGCTCCAGCCTCGCGGGCCACGGGTCCCTGCGCGCTCGCCCGCCGCCCTCGGCCACGCGGGCGGCACGTGCGCGGGCAGGATGGCCCAGAATCGAATCGCTAAGTCGAATCGGCGATCGAAATGAATTAATCGAGCCGGCGGAGCTCGGCAGCCAAGTCGGGAAAAGTCGAATCGGCAAACATCGGCAAGCTGGTAGGCCTCCATTGGGGACTCAGAATCCGAATCGGAATCGATCAAATCGAATCGAATCGGAAGAATCGAAACGAACCCTGCGCCCGCCACCCTCGGCCACGCGGGCGGCCCGTGCGCGAGGGCGCCTCGGCGGTGTCCGCGGCTTTCCTCAGCATGTCCGCCACGGCCGCCTGCCGGCGCTATGGATGGGTGGCCAGGGGAAGCAGCAGGCGGGGAGCCTGCTCCGCCTTCTCCTTTGCTCCCTTTCGGCGGCGAGCGAGGGGAGGAAGCGAGAAGGAGAAAGCCTTCTCCCCAGAACCCCTCGAGTCATGAAAAAATCACGACGGAAGGTTTTTCGCTATTTGGGGCCTCTCGGGGACCTTACCGGGCCTCGGGACCGTCAAAAACGACTCAGGATGAAAAACCAGTCCGGGGGAATGGATCGAGACCTCTGGGGGTCGACGTTATGAAAAAAAACCATGAAACCGGGGGTCTGGGTCAGGAGGCGGCGGAACTTCTCAGAAACCCTGGCGCCTTCTGGGAGGTTTTCTGCATCTTCGGCGCAGGCCCAGCCTCCCAAGCCTTCTGAGAAGGCCGGCCTCCTCTCATTTCCGCCCCTCGCTCACCGCCAACAGCTACTAAGACGAAGCCAGAGCGAGAACAACATCGGGCGAGGATAAATCGAGAATCCGCCGACCCCTTGTAGGTCTCTAGGCGTGTGAGATAGTTTCCCCCCCATAACCCCCCCCAGGGACCCCAAACCGGACATTCGACCCCCCCCCCCGGCCCCCGACGGCCCCGGACAGAGCGCGTCGTGGGGGAGCAGAGGGCTTCAAAACGGGCCAAGAGGGCACTTTGACGCCCCTCAAACGGCCCAAGAGACCCACGAGTCGCCGAAAGATCGAGCCAAGACGTCCAAGATGACATCCAGACGGCCCAAGATGCCTCCAAGACGCTCCCGGACGCCTCCAAAAGGCCCCAAGAGGCGTCCCAAGAGGGCCCCAAGAGGCCAAAATCATCGATTCCCTATTGGGGAACGCATCCTTTTAACATATACGGCTTTTCAGCTTTGACGGCGTTCGAGACCGGCCAAGAAGCCCCCAAGACCACCCCAAGACGGCCCAAGAGGCCCCCCAGAGGTCCTCTTCCTCCTCGTCCTCCTTCTCCTCCTCCTCTGCTTTCACCTTCTTCGCGTTCCTCTTGTCATCGGCCTCGTCTTCCCTCTCGCTCGGACCCCCGCTGCTCCTACTTCTAATGGCCATGACACGGGCGCCCTGTTGGTCTAATTTGCACGCCTTGCATTTCAAGGTGCCCTTCTTCTCGTCACGCGCGGCATGGTACGCGTCCACGGAGAAAGCCGACTTCGGCAATTTCCTCTGGCACTTGCAGCCTGACCCCCCCCCCTTTTCCGCCTCCCCCCCATATCCCCTTGCTCCTTCTCCTCCTCCCTCTTCCTCCTCCTCCTCGTTCTCCTTCTCCTCCTCCTCCTCCTCTGCTGTCACCTTCTTTGCGTTTCTCTTTTCATCGGCCTCGTCCTCCCTCTCGCTCGGACCCCCGCTGCTCCTACTTCGACTGGCCATGGCACGGGCGCCCTAGTGGTATCATTAGCATGCCTTGAATTTCAAGGTGCCCTTCTTCTCGTCACGCGCGACATGGCACGCGTCCACGTAGAAAGCCGACTTCGGCAATTTCCTCTGGCACTTGCCTCCTCCTCCCTTTTCCTCCTCCTCCTCCTTCTTCTCCTCCTCTGCTTTCACCTTCTTTGCGCTCCTCTTTTCATCGGCCTCGTCCCCCCTCTCGCTCGGACCCCCGCTGCTCCTACTTCTAATGGCCATGGCACGGGCGCCCTACTGGTATCATCAGCATGCCTTGCATTTCACGGTGCCCTTGTTCTCGTCACGCGCGACGTGGCTCGCGTCCACGGAGAAAGCCGACTTCGGCCATTTCTTCTGGCACTTGCCACTGCACCCGCAGGCTTGCCAACTGCGCACCGTGAACCCGTTGGCAATACAACCTGCGCATACAACTTTACTCCTCCTCGTGAAATGCTTACTCTCTTGATCGTCGCTGATGTGTTGCTGCCGAACGAACTCGTTCTTGCACGCCGCACGCGTCGGCAGCCGCTTCAACCGTTTTATATATATATATATATATATATTATATATATATATATATATATATATATATAAAACTCTGAAGGATTGGAGCAGGACACGGAGACGACGAGACCTGCAACGTGGGAAACCTGCAAAGTGCTGCCCTCTGCAGGCCAAGCCGCAAATATACCTCTAAAATTTCATGGGCGCACCGAGGCGTCGCGCACCCAGGGGGAAGCAGATTTATCTCCCCAAGCTTCGAAATCCATGTTGATTCTCCAGCCTGACCTCGACGGCGTGGAAAAACTGAACCCCAGCTCAGCATCCGAGGCAGAGAAAAGACGGCCCTCCCCAGGATCGTTCGGGAGCGAACGGGGGGCCCAAGCGGCCTCGGGGAGCACAGAAACACATGCCAGGGGACTCAGAGGGCGTTCTCCAGGGGCCGGGTGTGTTGATGACGAGGATCCAGTAGCTGCGTCAGCCAGCCATTTGCTAGCGATGCACTGGCGCGCAAACCACCACCGGCGGCCCAGAGACCCTTCACCACGATCAGGAGCAGGTACTGCAGGAACTGGATCCTCTTGTCCCGCCGCGGCTCCACGATCAGCACGCTCAGGACGATGAACAGAATAGCCACAAGCTTGATCTGCACGATCACACCCTGCGAGCGAACGTAAATCACCAGAATGGCAAAGAACAGGATCTTTATCACGAGCAGCACCTCCCTCCTCGGCATGAAGAGGGCGGAGGCCAGCAGCAGGAGGAACAGGAAGCCGATCAGGTAGACGAGGTTCCCTGCCCTCCGCACGTGGGGCCACACTTCCAGGATGCAGCCAGGCCGAGGGCGGAAAGCCAAGTGAAGGCGCATACGACGAAGAGGAACAACCCGAAGCAGTCGAAGCCGTGTCCCAACCATCTGGAAGAGGGAGGAGATCGGCCAGGTACAGCTTACGAATTTCTCCACCATGCGCCGAACAGCGCCCTGCCCAATGATGCTTTGCACGGTTAGCAGCTCGGTGGGCACGAAGGGCACCCCGAAGATCACCTTCAGCGAGCCCTGCATGAAGAGCAGCGTCACGCGCGTAGTGATGTGGACAGCCTGCCTCCTGGTTGCGGCAGTCGCGCAGCTCCAGTGACCGCAGCATGCACCTCGCGCGTCGAACGAGACGGCGGGGAACGTGAACGGCGACCGTGTCGGAGCTGGCGTCGACGAACCCGAGGCCAGTGCCTCGGAGACGGCGAAGGTGGAGCTGCTCTGGAGAGCGCCGGTGGACCTTGCAACAATTTGAAAGAACCACGCGAGGCGGTGCGCAACCATGAGCTCAGGCGGGACGGCTTGAGCCAGCTTGAGCCAAAATGGCTACGGAACGCTTCAACCGCTTCGACCCATCGACGACCCCTTTCGCGGTTATGTCGCGCTTACTGCAGCCCCCGCGCGCCACTCTCGCTCCTTTCTTCGCCCTATGGCCCCCCCCCCCCACCTGGCTGCGATTCAAACGTCACGTCCCCCAACGACTCACCCCGCATCCTGGCGCGCAGCACGTCAGCGGCGTCGCCACCGCCTCTGCTTTACGCTTCCTAATATTCGACTGGCGCGTCGCCTTGTCACGTTCCTCCGCGCATTTCCTACGCAGCCTCGCCCCCGCTGCGCGGCGCTTCTTCTGCGCATCCGACATGTCCGCCTTCTCCTCGCACAGCGACAGGCACTTCTCGTTCGAACATCGCACAATGCCGACGCTGTCGCTCCACTTCGCGCTGCCGCCCCGCGAGTCCTTCATCGCTTTGACATGACTGCACTTCGCGCAATGCATTGTTCGAATCCTTTTCGCCCCCCCGTCGCCGGCCGCTGCGCCCGCGCCCGGACCGCTACCGTGCCGCGCCGCATCTTCCCCCTCCGCTCTCGTTGCCCGTTTGCACGTTGTGCACCATTTTTCGCTGGCGCTTTTCATCTCTTCCGTGCATTCTTTGTAGAACGCTGGCCTTTCCTTCGCTTGGAAGTCGTACTTCGTGAACGCCTCTACAAGCAACCTCCGGCGGCAGCGCTCGCACTGGTTTCGTGGCATTAGTTCCGCTTCCCATTCCTCCCAATCCACGGTGTCCCCTCGTAGCACCTGCAACAGTTTCTTCGCGCCCGCCGTCTCACCTGCGTTGTGCGGCTTCCTATCAAAAGGCCTGAAGATCAGCAGGTTCTCTCGCCTGCGCACGCGCGTGATGGCAACGTAACTTGACATCCAACTCACGCCGCGCCCTCTTTCCAGGTCCGCTATCACTGCCCCCATGGTCCGGCCCTGCGCTGAGTGCGCCGTCGCTGCCAACGACGGGGTTATCATAAACTGCGTTCGCGTGACACTCAATACTGGATGCTTCCGATACCCGTCCAAGAACCATTGCCGCCTTTCGATGGGAAGATCGGATACAGCCCCGGCCCCCACCCTGGCAGGTGCCCCTCCTTCGTATGGAAGTCCAACACAATCACTCTCGGTAGATCATCATCGTCATCGTCATCATGATCATCAGCAGCATCATCATCATCACTACCATCAGCATCATCACCATCAGCAGCAGCATCATCAGCATATTTTCCCTTCTACAACTCATCAGCATCATCATCATCACCAGCCGCAGCGACAGCGTCAGCATCAGCATGATGAGCATGATCACCATCAGCATGAACATCATCATCATCAGCATCGTCGCCAGTAGCCTCGGCATCATCAGCATCATCATCAGCATCAGCAGCATCATCAGCAACATCGTCAAGAGCACCAACACCATCAGCATCGACATCAACATTATCATCATCATCGTCAGAATCATCGTCAGCATCAGCAGCATCCGAATCAGCATCAGCATTGTCATCATCATCGGCAGCATCAGCATCATCATTACCATTAGCATCATCAACGCCATTACCATAAGCATCATCACCACCATCGTCATCAGTATCATCAGCATCCTCATGGTCAACGGGATGCCAATCATCACTCACAACAGCATCAACCTCCTTGTCATAAGCAGCAGCACAGTCGCCATCAGCACAATTACCAGCATAAGCAACATCATCATCACCAATATTATCAGCATCATCATCAGCATCATCAGCAGCAGTATCATCAGCATGACCATCATCGTACTCCGCAGCAGCAACATTCGCATCAACATCGCCATCACCATTACAGATCATCATCAGCAACATCATCATCATAATCCGCCGACCCCTTGTGGGTCTCTAGGCGTGTGAGATTATCCCCCGCCATAATCCCCCCCAGGGACCCCAAATCGGCAATGCGACGCCCCCGTCCTCGCCCAGCCCGACCCCGGACCGAACGCGTCACGGGGGAGCGGAGGGCTCCAAAACTGGCCAAGAAGACACCAAAACGCTCCCCTGACGGTCCTAGGGGGCCACGATTCGCCGAAATATCGCCCTGGACGCCCACGATGGCCTCCAGGCGGCCTCCGAAGCTGTCAAGACGCCCCAAAAGGCTCCATGATGCGCCCCAAGAGAGTCCCAGGACACAAAAACTTGCCCCATTCCCCAAAAAAAACAATCATGTTTCGCATGCTCGCCTATTCGGTTTTCACAACGTCCCGGACGGGCAGAGAAACATTCAATATCGCCCAATATCGCCCCCAGACGGCCAAAGGGGCCCCCAAGAAGGGTCGAAGAGGGTCCAACAACAGCCCCCGTAGCCCCCAAGACAACCGAAGAAGGCCCCCAGACGGCTCCAAGACTGAGCGCACAGGGCAACTTTTCGAGCCTTCGGCCCGAAGACGCCCCCAGCGCTCCAAGAACAACCCAAGAGGCCCTGAGGGACCCCCAAGAGAACCTCAAAGGCCTCCAAGAAGCCCCCAGAAGCCCCCAAGAGGCCCCAAAACTTGGCCCAAGATGCCTCGAGGCGGCCGGATATGGCCTGTAGACAGGCCAAGATGTTATTAAAAGGCCGCAAAAGAGCACCAACCGATACGACAACAACAGCAACGAAGCACCAGGAACGATGTCGAGCGCCGTGTCACGATTCAAACAAGCCTCGTGAAATGCAGTCCTGGAGACGCAGTAGTTTATATAGGGGTCGTCGGATGTGGCGTAAGCCTATAGAATCTCGAAGATCCGGCGGCTCTGGAGGATGACTCGGGCGCCGCGGCCTTCCCCGACCGTTCTGGAACTCTCTGCGAGCGTTCTGGAACGCTCTGGAACGGATTCACCCTCGTCCTGGCCCCGTCCGACCTACCTGCCCACTGCTCCTCGTGTTGTGCTCTCCTTGGCATCGCTGACTTCCGCACGCCCTGTCGTTCGCTTGCTCTGGTCCCCCTCTGCGTCTCGCTGCTGGGTGCCCCCCTGCGCTTCGGGGGGGCGGGCGGGGAGAGCCGCGCACCCTGTTCTCACCGTGGCTCTGGGGGGCATGAGAGTCACCCAATGATCGGCACACAGCCTGCTGTCATTGCCGCCTCCGCCCGGCCCTCCCATATCGGCCCGGGGCAGCCGAGTGGATCCACGTGGCGAGATCCACGTGCCTCCCTGGCCGAGGCAGAAGCTTCACATGCTCCGTGAACGCTCTCCGCGCTGCTGCTGGAGGATCACCCCAGGCAACCAAGACGGAGGAGCAGGGGCATCCCCACGACTGGCAAGACTCTGACAGGGGTGGTGTGGGAGACTAGAGTCTTGGCGGAGACGGCCCCCCGGCCTGCCCGCGAGCTGGTGCCCCAAAGGTCTGGGACACGTGTTGGCCTCTGCCGTGATGGGTGAATTTCCATGTCCCACCTGCCAACCAGGGAAGCGCAGCCCTCCTCCCCCGCTCCTTCCTCTTCCTTCCGCGTCCCTCCCTCCTCCTGCACTAGAGGCCTCCTAACCGGAGTCCGAGTGGATGGGGTCGGAGGATCGCGCCGATGCGTTGGCGACGTCGGCGATGCGTCGGCGATGCATCGCCGATGTCGGCGTGGAGAAAGCTAGGCTCCGCATCGCGCCGCATCGCCGATGACGATCCTCCGACCCCATCTACTCGGACCCCATCTGGGAGGCCTAGATGCACCGCACTGCACATCCTTCTAGAGTCCACACGGATCCTCACGATCTACGTCTGGGGCTCGGCGCACACCTTCTGGAGGCCATCTCAAACTTACGCTTGAACATCGCCGCGTATGCCGTGCCACTGCACGGACAAGGCGCGGTCGGAACGCCCAATGCACGTAGGAGGCAACAACCCCTCTGCCCTCAGCAAGACCGCCTGCGCGCTCACGCACACACACACACACACACACACACACACACACACACACACACACACACACACACACACGCTCGCGCACACACACACACACACATACGGAAGGCCCTCCCTCCTCCTGCTCCTCGCCCCCCTCCTCATCCTCCTGATCCTCATCCCCCCTCCTCTTCCTCCCCCCCTCTCTTCATCCCCCCCTCCTCTTCCTCCCCTCTTCCTCTTTCTCTCCCCCACCCTTCCTCTCCCTCCCCCCCCTCCTCTCCCCTCCTCCTCCTGCTCCTCACCTCCTAGATAACTTCTCCCTGCCACACCCACAGACGTTCCGGCATCGCGCACTGGGCGTTTCGACTGAGACTTCCTCACCATAGACGATCATGAAGCTTGAAACTTGCAAAAGTTAGCCTGATGGAGGGGGTCTTTTTCAAAATAAACCTCTCGCCTTTGCGCTGCGCGCATCATCTTTCAAGCTTGCAAGCGTTGCAAGGACGAAGGGGTGGTTGTCCCAATGGAGCTCTCGCCTCAGCGCCGAACCCATTCGTCTTATATAAGCTTGCAGCATGTACACGGATGGAGGGGAATCTGTTTCAAAGTGGGTGCCTCGCCCTAACACCGTGCGTGTTCGTCCCAAAAGCTTGCGGCAAGCACGAGGACGGAGGACGGCTCCATGTGCCATTGGAGCTCTCGCCTAAGCGCCGCCCACATTCGCCTGAAGGGCGTGAAACAACTGCAAGGGAGGAAGACACATTCTTTTGAGCGTGGGACTCTCACTTCAGACTTACGCAAACCCTGAGTGTCGTTCAACCGATCCCCATCCCCAGCGGCGTGGCCTGGGCCCCACTGGCCGATGTACCACCCTAGATGGGAATATAGGTAGTTCCCTTCGCGTTTCGAGGGGTGCATCCCCAACTGGGGTGGTAATTTGGTGGAGGGTTCGAAGGGGATGGGGATGGGGATGGGGATCGGTTAAACGATACCGAAACCCAAACTGAAGCTCGAGGGGTCCCAGAAGAAGACAGCCACTTTCGATTTCCGAGCATTCGGTCCCAAGAGCCCCCAGGAGGCGCCGATAGGCCCCCCAGAGGCCCCAAGAGGCCCCAAA